TCGACTTTGAAGGGGTGAGTTGTAGAACCGCTACAGATCTACTGCCTAGCCTAGCCTACTGCATTATCTGTTAGGCAGCTGGCGGATTCTACATTGATTGTTTAAGAAATCCCTGTAGGGCAGTCATCTAACCGTTTCAATATTAGTTGACTCCATACGTCCCAGGAGGCTGGGCGGGTAAATCGACGCACTTCACGGCCCCGGTGGGGCCTTGATACCTCAACTGGGTTATAAGCCTGATCAGGTTTGTGACAAAAATTAACTCAAGATTTCCTCGTGACCCAGGTTTTTCTATTCTCTTTGTTACCGTCGTTCCTAATAATAATGGCTTTAATCTCTGGCACTGGAATCAGATCAGCGAAAAATATATAAGGCGGTTTGATAGTGGGTTTAGAAAGCCTACGTGAGATGCAATGTCTCGTCATAAAAATTTGCCAATTTTTATACATTGTTACGATAGAGTCCTTTGAGAAAGAATACTGTCTTTGTGTGAATTTTCGAGTCTGGTTCCGCAGTTCATAGTTAGAGAGATGAGATTATTCCGAAAACAATTAGTTATAACCGAAAAATAACACAGGGTTCTACGGTAGGTCAGCGTGTAGGGTGCTTATTGTCACGCGCCTTTAATTGTGCAGTCAGTGGGGAAAATAGCTGTCATCCGCATCTTATTGTGCAGTCACGTCTGATTTAACTGTTTTTGCAACACTCTCATCTGTCTGACGACGAGCTGGTGAACCAGACTTGAAACTTAACACAATAAGCAGTATTCTTTTCCCAAAGACCTTATCGTAAACGACATATACTGCTTGGGCTGCCGATATTCCAATGTTTATACAGTTTTTGGAAGTTGTTGATTAGTCAGCGTCTACATGTCCCGTAGAAGTTTTTTAAAGTTGCTTCCAAAATTCCCTTTTCTTGTCTTAGAGTTGTTGTTGTGGTGTCTGTTATGAATTTGAGAACCTGATTCGCTACTCAAAGAGCAATAATACACTCCGTTCTTTAAACCACTCTAGGAACCTAGTGTAGGCCAAGACCCTCTGTCCGCATGTTACAACAGTTATTTTCCTGCCGCAAAAAGTGAATATTGTTAAATTCGAATAATTTCGCTTAAAGCTTTCCAATTCAAAAAACAAATACACTAAGATCAGCATTATGAAAACGTTAGGGTTCTCTATTACAAAGTGAACGTGCTAATAATAAAAAGGAAAACCCCCTCATTAGAAATATCAACGAAACACAATGTTCAGCGAAAATTCCCATTTCTACGATTGAAAA